AAGACCATTCCTTCACCCTACATTACATGAAATAAAAGATCTACCCGTCCTAAAAAAAGACCTTGCCTGCTTGCAAAGACAAGAGCTTTTGAAAATTCTCTCAGGACAGGAAAATCATTTCCTGTCCAGCTCTAGTATTTAGGGATTCTCAATTCAAGGTTCCCTCTGAACTGTGCAGCAGCACAGCCCTATAGCTGCTTAACAAGCTCTGCCCATCCAGAGGATCAGAACTCGGGCTCAGAGCTGCCTGGCTAAGGGAGGTGCACTCTTCCCTCAGTGACAGCAGCAGCTCCCTGCTGATGACAGTACCCCATGTTACCTAACACTAGATAGGAATTGCTATCCTAAAGCTGACATGAGGTCCAACTAATCTAGTATCCTGTCTCTGCGAGTGGCCAGTGCTAGGTGCCTCAGAGACAAGTGTAAGAAACCCATAGGAGGCATGTACAGGATAGGTAAAGATTGGCTTAGGGCCCAAAATACAAATTTTAATATCCTTTCTAAAATGTTTATTGTAATTAATTATTGTAACTGGATATTTTTTTTGTATCTTACTAAGTTCTTCACCTTGGGGATTTCCTCTGAAAGTGAATTGATCACACTGTGCTGTGACAAAAGAAAAATGAGAGAGAGAGAGAGAAGATTCTGATCTATCTTTTGTGAACCTTGCATCACTAATATACTTTTACTATGTTCCTTTCTGAGGAAAACAACCTCAATATTTTCAATTTCTCTTCATAAGAGTTGCTCCCAATCCCTCAGTCACTATTACTCATCCTGGAATTCCTTCCAATTCTACAATAGCCTTTTACAGATGAAGTGGTCAGTGTTGCGCACCGCATTCCAAAGGACGTTGTACCACTAATTTATATCAAGGCATTATAGTGCCTAAGTCAATTCTCCTGTTTGTTCCTTATTCATCCTAACATTTTGTTAGCTTTCTGACTGCAGCTGCACATTGACCAGAGATCTTCAAGGAGCTGTTGACAAATGACAGCTAGGTCCCTTTCAAAATCTGGCCCTGGGATAATCTAAATCATCATAAAAGTGGTCTCTCTCCAAACAAAAAATTAGGATATATAAAAAAATTGTTAATAGAATTCAATAACAAAAAGTCTGTTCTTAGACTAAATCTCTACCGTAGCATTCTGCAGCTTAGATTTAGTTTGAGCACAGCATCTTAAAGTCTTTAAATCTTCAAAACTAAGTATTTAAAATTTCGATTTAAATTTTTCCTCTTCTTCAGAAGATGGAATGAGAAACCTACAATGGTTATGTGACTAAGCAATGCATAAGGTGCACGAATCCTGAAATGAACATGTTTGTTCTTGCCATATGGCCAACTCCCTTAAGGCAGAGAGTATGCCAGCCTCTTCCACTATACCTACATATGGAGTCAAAGCATATCCAATACTGTCAGGAGAAAAAACCTGGTCAGTGGCATGCAGTGATGGGGAGAAGGGTGGAAGAGAGAGTCTCACCCCCACCCCTTTCTAGCCAACCACCAAGGGTTCCTCAGGTCACTTGGTTCAGCCGGCACTGAGGGTGGGAAGGGAGAAAAAAGTTTGATAAGGGGGGGAATTTAGTGAACTATAACTAATAGAAGTGGAACATAAAGCAATGGGAGATGGTCAAATTCTTCAATGAACTTTTCAGAGAAAAGGAGGTAGAACAGAGGATTGGATCAGAATCCTGCTTCCCCTCTTCCCCCCTCCCCCAATTTTGCTGTGCTTGGTCTGGAATGTGAGTGAGGAGGAGAATGGCTCACTGCCACCATCACACCCTCCCCATCACCAGCATTGCCAAGGGTTGTTCTGGCCCGCTGTGAAAGTTAGAGCTAGTTAAAAGGCCAAAGGACCATTAGAACATCCATACTAGATCAGACCAAACATTACACCACCAGCGGCTTGCTGAAGCATAGCAGTGCAGTGGCTACATCCTCTCACCTGACAGGCTTCCCATCCTGGTGAGAAGGCTTCCCATGCTGGAAGGTGACATAGAGCTGGTTTATCCTAAGGTATATAGAGCTTGGTCTGTAGTGCAATCAGGCAGCCGTGGCTGGCCCATGTTAGTTAAGGCTCACAGAGGTTGGGATAAGGGGTGACTGAATTGCAATATAGACATTTGAGCTCAGTCTGGAGCCTAGTCTATGGGACCCTTCCCTTTTACGGGGACCTAGAGCCTGGGAAATGCAGGCTCAAATGTCTACCCCTCAGTTAAACAGCCATTTAGTCTGAATCCCATGAGGCCAAGTCAGCACAGATGGACCAGCCATGGGTGTTTATTTGCAGTATAGATTCTCTCATACTGAGAAGAATTTTTAACTGCCTTTGTAAAAGCAACTTTTCAGCCTTTTTGCTGCAGCATTAATTCTATTCTGGTATAGTTCCCAGTATTTGTTATTATATTACTTCAGAAATAGCTGCAGTGTATATTGATATACTCCAAAAAGCAAACAAAATACTTGCTGTGAGAAGCACAGATAAGGTATCAGTATTATGTGAACTTTATAGTCTACATATCCTTGTATTGTGTAGGTCTTAAACTGCCTCATGCTACACTGTATTAACATGGTTGCACATAATTTGTATGTTTCCTTTCAGGAGAAAAAGAATGCAGCCCTGATGAGTGCAAGTCCACTTCTTATATTCTAGTGCTGCTTTCATGTAGTGTGTACTCCTTTCATTGTGCCACCTTTACACATGCATTTCAAGAAGTATGCAAATAATAAAGCCATTGTTGTCATATTTAATGGAACATCACATGAAAGAAGAAAATGACTCAGTATAACCCAAGCACATTTGGGACATGCTATCCAATGAAACAAACAAGCCAAGAATTGGCCTTGATTTTTCCCTAAGACCATAGGAACAGCAATACTTGGTTAGACCAAAGATCCATGTAGCCCAGTATCCTGTCTTCTCATAGTGGCATGTGCTATGTGCCACAGAGGCAATGAACAGAACAGGTAATCATCAAGTGATCCATCTACAGTCACCCATCCTGAACTTCTAGCAAACAGAGGCTAGGGACACCATCCCAGTCCATCCTGGCTAATAACTATTGATGGGGCTCTCCTTCATGAATTTATCAAGATCTTTTTTGACCCCTGTTATAGTCTTGGACTTCATAACATCTCTGACAAAGAGTTCCACAAGTTCACTGTATGGTGTGTGAAGAAATACATCTTCTTGTTGTAAACCTGCTGCTGTTAGTTTAATTTGGTGATCCTGTGTTCTTGTGTTATGGGAACAAGTAAATAACTTTTCCTATTCACTTTTTCCAACCAGTCATGATTTTATAGATCTCTATCATATCCCCGCGCAGTATTGATTTTATAGACCTTAATCATACCTCTCCCCGAGTTGTATCTTTTCCAAACTGAAAAGTCTCAGTCTTACTAATCTTTCCTCATACGGCAGTCATTCCAGATCTCTAATAATTTTGTTGTCCTTTTCTGAACCTTTTCCAATGCCAATATATCTTTTTCCAGATCAGGTGGCCACATCTTCATGCAGTATTCAAGGGGTGGGTGAACTATAGATTTATATAGAGGAAATATGATGGTTTTGTTTTATTATCTATCCTTTTCGTAATGATTCCCAACATTCTGTTAAGTTTTTTTTTTTTTTACTGCTGCTATGCACTGAATGGAAGTTTTCAGAGAACTGTCCACAATGACTCCATGGTCTCTTTCTTGAGCGGTAACAGCCAATTTAGCCCCATCATTTTATATATATATATAGTTGGGGTTATATTTTCCATTTTGCACTACTTTGCATTAACCAATGTTGAATTTCATCTGTCATTTTGTTCCACACTCATCCAATTTTGTGAGATTCATGTGTAGCTTTTTGCAGCCTACTTTAGAGTTAACTACCTTGAGTAGTTTTATATCATCTACAACTGTATTCCCTCTCCCAGCCAAGGCTCATTGAGTCCAAAGATCATCTCACCACTCATGTATTTCAAACATCTGAGCTCTGGAAGACTTTGTGCATTCTGGAGTGTAAAGAGTAATGGCCTGAGAGATCTGAATTCACCTTGACATCTAATGATCATTGATTTCAATTGTGTGATACTTGATAGATTCAGGATGGGCTCAAGTGATTGAGGAGCACAAGTCCCAGTGAAAGTCAATAAGTCATTTAGGTTCTTTACTTAGAGCAAGAGTATTTGTACTGGTCTGGGACACATTGCTATAACTAAACATATGACATGACAGAGACTGAATTTAAAATCCACCAGGATCTTATGTGTGACAGAACAAATTTTTGGGTCCTTACTCATCCAAACACCTGTTAATTTTAGTGAGTACTTACTGAGGAAAGTATCTGACCACAGATTATTTCTGTAATCTCCCGTGATGGTTACTGAAAGTGAAGCAGTCATCACTATGTTAAAAGACCTGGAGGATGAGCAAGAGGAAAAAACATACATGAAAGGTGCCCTCCACATTACATTTCAGGGTCATGATCTATCCTTGGTTGTTTGTGTCTGATGTTTAGATTTGCCAAATCATGCCAAACATGCAAATATAGACAGTTTTTAAAATGGAAGATTTTAAGTTGTTTTTGAGGAAGAGCCTTTTCATCATTTGATGCCTATGCATAATATGGATCGGTGTCATGATAGACATAACCAGTGGAGTCATGCCTGCTAGCTGCTGAACAAATACCCTGTATTCATGAAATAAGATAAGGTTATTATCTGGCTGTTCTTATGTTCTGCTTTTTCTAACTCAGTGCTTAGTATTTAATATTGAAATTCCTACTCAGAATTAATGTTTGTTTAAATAGCATACCTTCTGCATTAACTCTCTGCTGGATCAGAACCACTCTGTATACTCAAAAACCAATGAAAGGAGAGTAGGTGTCTGTGTTCTTTTCTGGAGTGTACCTTCTTCTCACATTTGTTTGAAATGAAAACAGTTAATTTTTAAGGTAGGCATGAATCTATTGCATTGTTGCCTTCCTAATAGAGTTTCTTTCTGATTTCAGCCTGGGGAAGAGCTGCTGCCGCCACCTTCCTTATCGGTTTTATCATTCTGGTCATTTGTTTTGCCCTGGCCATCATAGCCTTTGCCATCGACACACTTCTGTTCAGCTATATACGAGGAATCGGAGGGTTGCTCTTTGTGGCTGGTAAGACTATGTAGGAGGAAAAAGTTGCCTTTTAAAAATAGTAACTGTTGTAAAATCAGTATAAGCCTTATTTGACTCTTCAAACAAACGAGTCTGTTTATGTCCACTTGTATAGCCACGCTGCATGTAGAAATATCAATTAAAATTGATGGAATGTCCATCCAAGTAGTAAAACCTCAAACCTCTAAAAAAAAAAAAAAAAAAAAAAAAAAAGGGCAGAGGAGCAAACAGCCAGAGATAAAATCAAGACAGAAATATCGGATACCAATATAGTCACTCATTCTGACTTTATTTTTGGTTGTCTTTTCTCTTTCTTCAGCTGTGTTCTCAATCATGGCCGTGATCATTTATCCAGTGATGTTCACAAAGGAAATAGACATGGAAGGCGTCAATATGTTCAGCTGGGCCTATGGCTTTGCTTGGACCACCACCATTATGGAGATAGGCCTGGGATTCTTCTTCTGCTGCCTTCCCAACTACGAAGATGAGATCCGGGGCAACATCAAGCCTAGATATTTTTATACTTCCCCATAAATACTAGAAACAGCAGGAGAGGTGCCTTACTCTTGTTTTGATATTTGGATTCCAGAGGTACATACTGACTATCTTATTTTTACAGAGCATTATGACCAAGAATTACTAGAAAGGCTTGAAAACTTTTTTATGCAAGTAGTAATATAGTGTTGGAGTTATAGAATAGAAGATCTAAATTGTTGTGAATTTTCCTCTTTGATATGGGCTTGTAAAGGTTAATTATTTGACCTGTTAAAACTTTTTTTATTGTCCCATTACTTCCCACTAGTAGGGGTGTAGAGTGGTTCTGGTATTAGAGTTTTAAGCATTTACTTTTTTATTTATGTTCAAACAAGGTCTTTCATGCCTCAGGGAATTTGTTATGAGGCCACACAACTCAAATCTTGGCTCTTTGAGGCAAAGCATCCAAGGAAAATAGTTTAACCTGGAAATTTAAGATATTTGGGTGTCTGCAAAATCTGTCAACCCACTTTGTGCCATTATTGCCAATAATTCAGTCATCACTTCATAACTATGTGTTCTCTTTTATTCATAAAGTATAACACAGAGTCAGAGATGAAATAGAGAAAACCACTTTCTTATTTAACAAGCCATTTTCATGACATTCAGTGATTTTTGTTGTCTATTTTAGTAGCTAAATTGTCAAAGGTGAACCAGAAGTAAGAAGAAAAATAATCTGTCTTCAAACACCATTAAAACATAAACAAGTATTATCCCAGTGTAGTGTGCACTGCAATCAAAGCAGTCCTAAAAATCATGGATGAGATTCTATGCCCCTACTTAGAGGAGCAGCACAAGATTAGTACACTACATCTTTCTGCCTTCAAATTCTGGGCTGCTCTGAGGACTGGAGAGACCCTTACTGTAATTTACAGAGTCCTGAGGAACTTTTAAAGTTATGTCAATTTCATCAAGTTGCCCTATGGTATGGGCAGCAACACTGTCCAAATCACCATAGACCAATGTGTTGTGGCTCCACCCATGCTATTAATTATTATTAATGAATTCATCCTTGCCAGAAGCTTTAGAAAAAGTTTTGTATAAAAATGCAGAGTGTGGCTGACGCGCATGCAGTTCATCTGTTTAGGAATAAGCTGTTTCAGGTATTTTCATGATGTTAACCATACTCAATAAATGATGGTCATTTGTGTCTTGTTTCAAACATGGTGACTGCACTTAATTCTATCTGGGAATAGAAAGGAAAGGAGAGATAAAGTACCTGAGATTACACTCCATTGCAGTAGAATTTTGAAGCAAGTGGAGGGTGGGAAAGTAACTCGCCAATGCATTATTTAATATTAAAGGGACTTTATTATCCTTCATTTATATTCTGGTAACACAATAATGCACTGCTGACATGCACAGGAGGACACTGAACTTACCCAAGAGAGTCTACAAATTATGAAGACCTACCGCACATAATGATTAGGGTAGAGAGATACAGTTATTAGGCCTGCAATGTTAATCACTTTCTTATTAAATGCTGAGGCGAACAGAAGCCCACCAACGGAGCGGTGTGTCAATGGGGAAACTGGCCCTGGCACTCAGTGATTCAAAAGGGCCCAAGGCTCTTGGCCACTGCTATCGCTACTATGATAGAGGTGGCAGCCTGAGCCCCAGACCCTTTAAATGGTGCAGTGCCCTCAGGGTGGTGGTGAGGCTGTGTTGGGGAAGCTAGCCTCAGCTCCACCTCTTCTCCACCTGCTTTGCCAAAGAGCCTGCTAAGACTGTCAGCCCCCTGAGTGAACACCAGTTTATCGATGAAAAGAAGTATTGACAGAAGTAATTTCAAGGCTAATGTTTACAATGGAGGACACTGAAAAATGGATGTTTACCATACTGTGAAGTTGAAATGGTCCTGATCCTTTATTTTCCACTCCCCAAAATTCAACAGACTTCTGATGAGCCAATCTGTTTAGGGAGCAAAGGAAGAAACTCGCCAATAATTTGTTCACTATTAATAGTTTGTAGTTTTTGGGTTGCCAGAGGAAGTGCCTATAACACAAGAGGCGGGAATATAGTCTCCTCAAAGGAATTCTGTAAGAAATTATGTGGGATTGAGGCCCTTGAAATCTGAGCAGAACCCTAGGCTGTGTCTACATTGGCAATATTTTGCGCAAAAGAGACTGCTTTTGCGCAAAATCTTGCCACCTGTCTACACTGGCCGCGAGTATTTGTGCAAGAACATTGATGTTCTAACATACAAAATCAGTGCTTCTTGCACAAATACTCTGACGGTCTCGCTCAGCGATAAGCCCTCTTGCGCAAGTATTCTTGCGCAAGAGGCCAGTGTAGATAGGCAACGTTAATTTCTTGCACAAGAAAGCCCGATGGTTAAAATGGCCATTGGAGCTTTCTTGCGCAAGAGAGCGTCTACACTGGTTGCTTTTGCACAAAAGCACATCTCTTGCGTAAAATCACATGCCAGTATAGACGCTCTCTTGCGCAAATACTTTTAATGGAAAAACTTTTCCATTAAAAGTATTTGCGCAAAATCATGCCAGTGTAGACACAGCCCTAGATTTTGGGCAAACAAGGTTTCATTGCCCGTAGACTGTGGTTCTGCCCCCCTGCCCTGCCCTCCTTCATCATTCTGGATTGAATAACATGTGGATGTAAAAAAACATGAGATCAAACTAGAGACTTCAAGAGTCAACAGGTCAGTTGTAATTGATTTTGCTTCTCATTGAATAAAGCATTCTAGGTACAGATTAGCTTTACTTAGCTCAACATTTATCATGGGGGCTGTGAGCACCTGGAAGCATATCCTGAATATTTCTCTTCGTTTACTGTAGCTTCTCTGTACATTTTTTAAACTCCTATTTCAGCTAAAACTCCATTGGCTTCTGCACAGAAAAGGGAATTGGAAGCTCCTGACTTCTCTGCAAAGAAGGAAAATATCACTTCATTACTTCAGACTATCGTGAGAATGATTTAGAAACCACTCAAACAGTGTTCTTTAGGGGGTTAGCATTATTGTGTAACTTCCTACAGCAATAGGGCTATGTCTAGACTGCAGGCTTCTTTCGAAAGAGGCTCTTTCGAAAGCATCTTTCGAAAGAGCCTCTTTCAAAAGATCGCGTCTAGACTGCAGGCGGATCTTTCGAAAGAGAAATCCGCTTTTTCGAAAGAGAGCACCCAGCGAGTCTGGATGCTCTCTTTCGAAGACGGCCTCTTTACATTGAAGAACGCCTTCTTTCGAAAGAGGAACTTTCGAAAGAAGGCGTTCTTCCTCGTGAAACGAGGTTTACCGCCATCGAAAGAAAAGCCGCGTTCTTTCAAAAAACACCATGGATTATTTAAAATACCTCTTCTAGTGAATTGTTCACATTGCATCTCAAGTGATTGGGGCTGTGGTATGGACACCACAAGTAGGATTATAAACACCAGATACAGCATAAGCAACAGGAACAAACTCTTAATTACTGTTTGTGGGCCAAATTCTGTGCACATTACAAGGTACAACTCCAGTTTACTACAATGCGGGTTTCACGAGATAACAGAGGATAAATTTGTCCCCACTTTCTTGCAAAAGCTTTACAAAAATGGAATGTTCTTCAAAGTTTGTCCACAAGTCTTTAATTGTGCAGTGGCCAAGACCAAGAAGATACCAGAAATGTATTCCTGATCTTTAGACTCCCATTGGCAAGACTGGGCCCAGCTTATGCAAACCACGTTTGATCTGACAGGTTATTCCAGTTTCCTCAAGCTGTTCTCCTTCTTGTACAGTACTTGATGTTCTCACTTCTGTTCTTTAAAATTGCTCTTGCCATTTGGAAAAGTGCTTCTTTAATGCTTCTGCTGGAGATTTTGCCACACCCAACCATGACAAGAAAAGTAACAAAAGAAATTGATAGAAGCTCACACCTACTGTTCGTATTGATGCTCATGCTCCTAATGTTTTTCTCTTTATCCTTTCAGGTCTGTACCTAACCTGAGCATTTCACAATAAGGACTTGAAGTACAAGTAGTGAAAAGCTTAGTGACAAAGTGAACTAGAAGAAGAGAAGGGCCCAGGGAAGATTTTCCCAGGCTGGCATGCTTAAAAAGAGCCAATCAAAATGAAAAGAAAACAAAAATGACTAGGAGTCAGGAATAAACTACACTACAAAACTAAGTAGACCAAAGTTATGCCAGCATAAAGTTACAGTAGTAATTACATTGCTTGTGGGGGTCTACACTTTGCTCCTTATGTCCATGCTGTGCATCATCATCAGAAGCACTTGTACGGACTGAACTGTCAGTCTGGGGCACTATGGGATGATTTCTGAAAACCAGCATCAGTCAATATATACAGCGCAGTTTCTACACTGACACTGCAATGATGTAACTCCATGGACATTGACTCTACACTGGCAATGGAGTTATTAAGTCACTGCAATGGGGGAGTTACAGTGGAGGGAGAGAAACTGTAGTGTAGAGCCTGAGGATGCATCTACTCAGCACCCTAAACTTGAAATAAGATACACAATTCGCACTATGCAAATTGTGTATCTTATTTCGATTCTATTTCAAAATAGCTTATTTTGAAATTTGGCACATCCACACAGCGCCAAATTCTGAAATAACACACTCTTATGAGACATCCCTTAACTGTCATGGAACAAGAGTTACAGGGATGCCAAAATAGCGCGTCCATTATTTTGCCACTTATACCTTTCCTGAACTGGAACATCATCAAGGCCGGCCTCTGGAAAAGGTTCAGAAGAGGATACAGGGGTCTCAAAAGTCGGAGCTGATTTGAATGGTGGAGCCTTTGCTCTGGGATCTGAACCTTAGGAAATGTGAGCCAAGATAAAAAAGAAAATCTTTAATTTAAATATGCTTTCAGGGTCTGCTTCACGTATCAAGAAGAGTTTCTTCTCCCACCTAACATTATACAGATCATCTAAGTTCACAATTGGAAGAGGAAATGATGTTTTAACATATTAGACATTGCTAGAGGTGGCATACTGGATTTATTGGACTAATGTTCTGATGTGATATGGCAAATTCTGCACCCCGGCCATATTTCTTTTAAGAACATAACAGTTCTGTGCTGTTAACAGAATGTAGCAATGTAAAAAGAGAAGCTTTAGTATCTGTGGCAAGAATGACTCTAAAGCTACAAAGGAAATCATTTGCACACAAGGGAAGTTTTTTAATGTTATCATAGAAGGCTCAGCAATGTTACATTTGACTGGCCTTATATGTACGCTGACCATACATCCCAATTTTTCTGGGACAGTCCCGAATTTAACTACTCTGTCCCAGTGCCCCATCAAGAAGTGAAATGTCCCAGAAAACTGTGCCGGACATTTAACTACTTGGGGACACTGGCTTGTGGAAAGAAGCAAGAAATGACATGGTGCCATTGCTCCTCACGCCATGCAGTGGCCTCCTCTTCTCCCCCCACAGCAGGGCGCGTAGGGCAGCTGGGCTGGCTTCTGGTGGTATGCAGCCCCTCCCTCTCTCCTTCCCCTGCCTCCCCACATGGGATTGCCTCTGTGCGTGGGTCCTGGTCTGGTGGCACCGCTCCTTCTCCTCCTCCTGATCACTTTTGAGCCCCGGCAGAAGCCATGTGGAGCCCGGCTGGGTTGCTTCAGGGCAGGGTGTGTTTGGGCTCAGCAGGTGCCGGCACTGGAGAGAAGACTGCCCACAATGCTATTTTAGTACCAAGGTCTGGGTCCCTGTGGGTGGACCCAGCTCCATCTGGAGTCAAGTGGCAGCCACACAAAGCACTTTCCAGCCAGGGCAGCCTCATTGGAATGGGCCTCGTGTGTCTGCTGCTTAACTCCAGCTGGACCCAGTCCCACAGGAACCAGGA